TCTCCATTCTTCTCTTCAGGTTCCTGCGGTGGTGTGTTTTTCTTCTTTGGCTTCATCTCTTCACTGTCTTCTTTCTTCTCCTCCACCTCTTCTTCTTTTGTCTCCATCTTCACCTTGTTCTTTGGATCTTCTTTGGCATTCTGAGGAAGTTTCCTTTGCTTGTCCCCATCATGTCTCTCCACTTCATTCCCTTCATCGTCGTTGTCTCCCCCTTGTTCAGGCTCATAGTGCTGAGTTGCCTCAAACTCTACATCCTGGTCTTCTTGCCATTGACTGTCGTTCCAAAAGAACGGATCATGCATCTCAAGTGTGTCTGCTTCATCCGGGTGGCCCCGCATTTGGGCATACGCCTGTGCTGCCTCTTCTTCCTCCTCACCTTCAGCCTCATCCGGGTCCTCTTCCTCATCCTCTTCCTCATGTTCGATTTCTTCAGCCTCACTTTGCCCCTGATCTTCCTCTTCATCGTCTTCTGCTGTGTCTTCTTCTGGATCTTTGTCTTCCTTCTCCTTTCCTTTCTTTTCTTTGCAGCTTTCAGTCAAGTCCTGAAGTGGACAGGTAGGTTTTGCAAATGGATACGCGCTAATTGTTTGTAGATCGTGCATTGGTCCTTTGCTAAAAAGACAAATGGACATCAACTGAACCCATGCTCCACGCAATAAAGGGTGTGCATGGTGGTCCTCCTTCGAACCTTTTGGACCTCTGGTACCTTTCTTCTTTCCATCGGCTGTCAGGAGGTCGAGGGACTGGCCGGACACAAGGAACAACCAACCAGAGGAAACAAAGTCAAGGAACCACATAAACAGCTGGTAGTATTCCAAGCCCGATTGCATTTCTGTGGGCATCCCTGACATCAATCAATAGTTCCAATCTTGGTGCCCCAAGCTACTGCCTTCAACTTGGCGTGGATCACATTTTTGATCTTCATCATCCCTTCATGTCCTCCCCTGGGCCGTCGCTGGACTTTAGATGGGGAACTTGATCGGTATACACAGTAATCACACTGAAAATGGGTCAGGTTGTTTCACACGTAGCCTAAATAGTGCCCACCAACCCATTAGTTCTTTTAGTTGTTGACGTTGATGAAAGAACTTGGTTCACAATTCACATGCTAAGGAAAGTACCGGGCATTCGAAGTCTTTTGAAACCGGGTCATACAGTAGCTGGCCATCGCTCTTTGAACTCCACTTTCAATACCAGCCCAGGCCTGAAAGCCACTCAAAGTGGGGTGGAGGGAGAGTTGTTTGCCCATGTTTTCACAACAGGACTGTGATTCACAATGCGAAGTCTGTGTCAACTGCATGACAAACATCCAATTAAATTGAGTAGCACGGTGCTCCGCTTCAGTACCAAACTGAGGGTTTAGGCCATAAGTTTGGCTTGCCCATAGCAATGCCTCCTAGGAAGCTGGCTGAATTGACAGGGCAGGATGGACAAGAGACTCAGAACAACACCCCGGACTGCAACTCTTAAATTAGGTAAATTCAAGGCGGTCCTCACACTCAATGTCTGTTGGCAAACGCTCGCAGAACTGCGCCAAATACTCTAGCAGAAATGCCAGATTCTCTTCTTGTTCAACCTGGTTAAGGAATAAAAGTACAATGGATGGGCAGTGATGGGGAAGACATGCATCATCTTATGAACACTCTGGGGCCTCCATCTCAAAGATTTTATCGCCCTTGGCAAAGCGATGGACGAAGGTGAATGGCGGCACCTCAATTTCATCAGAATGGTCCCTGAGATGTATCACCACTGTTCTGGACTTGATAGGCAGTGACATGTCGATATGCACTTTTTGGTTGTTTTTGGCCACGCTACAGAGGCATCTGAATTGCGAAGCCCAGCCCTCCGTCTCAAAAGCCTTCGCCTAGATGGAATGAAATCGTCAGATTCCAGAATGTCCTTGAAGAACTCCTGGGCAGCAATGCTGATCCCTTGTCACTCATGCTCAGGTTACATCTAAAAGTATCCGGTATATCCCTAGAAAAAGTCAGATCAGCGACGCATCCCCATGCTGCCAGCCGAGCTGCTTTCAGGAGCGCAATCCGGTCTTCGCTGGTGCTTGCGGGCATTGCAGCCGGCATCGGGTGGAAAAGCAGGGCTGGGACAGGTCGAGTTGCCAAAACAGCCCCAACAGAAATTACAAAAGAGTGTGATCTATTTGAGAAACCTGTGCATGGGAACTTCATGATCCAAGTTAGGGGCTTCATCGCTTGAACCCAAATAAAGTAAAATGAAGGTCTACTCTACTGAGTTGACGCTCTTTGTGAAATTTATGCACAGGCTATCAACACAGTGAAGCTAGAGGTGGTGGCACCATCAAAGATTGGCCGGGGCTGCAGGAGGTTGCCATCATCTATCAGTCCTGAGGTATGGGGACATGGTCATATGACTTTGCAAAACTATGCGTTAAATTACTCAAAACCTCGAAGTCTGAGGCAGCATCTCCTTTGCAGGGCTCGTTTGATCTTCATAGTTCATCATGCGTACCTGATATGGCCAAGAACCCACCACAGAAATTTCCCAGATTCATTGTCCATGCATGTGGTGCCCATGCATACTTCCAACACTGCCCAAGGCACAGGTGCATGTAGGATAGCGATGCACCAGCTGTCACCAGCCATGTGTGCCAAGACGCACATAGCACACTTGGATCATACGATGAAAACCATGGTGTGGTCTCACATATCCAAATTGAATTGGTTGGAACATGTTAAGAGTGCTGCAAGATATGGTATGCCACTGAATTCCTCACGACCCCTAAGTTGAGCCAAGCTGCACCTGGCCAAAACACAGGTGCTCTGAATACTCTGTCAGTCTTTCTTGGATAATAACCCTCCCTGGCCAAAGACGGTTTTAGAAACTGTCCTGGACCCCCAGGGTATATATAGGATTTGTCCATCCAGGCCATGCAGCAGTTTCTACCTATTTCTACCTATGGAACCCCAAACCTACGAATTTGTCGTGTCTGATGGAAAGCATCATGTTTGGCTCGACTTGACAAAAAAAAACATTGTTTTCTGTCGCACACATTGTGTTCCAAAAGCACATTATTTATACAATTGTAGAACACTCTAGAAAACCATAGAAAACCGTAAAACACCCGTAGAATCCCGTAGGCCGTCGCATCGTTTTTAGGAAGTCAACAAAATACTTGTGTTGTGTTGAAGAAAACACGTGTATTGTCATGGTATGACGTTTTAGAGGTTCTTGGTTCTCTAGGTAGAGTATGTTGGAGATTCCAGAAGAGCGATGGAAAAGCTACCCCAACCGAACGAGCCCTGCAGCTAAATGTGCGGATGGAGATCCTGAAAATGATCTCGGATGAACGTCGCATGCAATTTGGGCTATCTAGCCCTTGGCCCGTCTAGCTCTCACCACATGTGAGCATAAGTTCTACGAGGCCACAGACCTCGTGACAGACCATCCATGTATGGCCCATTGACCTACATTAGGGTCAATAAATGGGGTCAATGTATGTACAGTATTGTACAGTAACTATTCCATACATGGAGTGCGTGGGTTTTGTGTGTGTGTGTGTTCTTTTTAATCTGAAAATTGCAAGTGCTCGCTGAGGCTCATTGAGGACGGTGTGGTGGTTCAGAGCTGAGAGCTGCTGCGAGGTTTGCGAGGCTTCAGGTTGTTCGTTTTTTAAATGTTTCAAAGGCCTTCCACCTGGAGTATCCTGCCTGGGTGGTCCTGTTTGGGCATCTCTAAGTAGTGTGGGGTAGTTAAGTGCCAGGACACCCAGACAGGATCCTTCCAGATGTGCTTTTCTTCATGGGCTTCCAGACCTGATCTTATCGCACCTGAAAACCTGCTGGTTTCCCAGGCTGGGGGCATGATCCCGAAGGTCACATGCTGCTTGAGTGCTATCAAGGATGGCCACTGGGCGGCAACGACTGTCCAGCCGGGCGACGACTGTTGGGCGCCGTTGCTGGCACGGGTCGAAAGGATGATTGAATATGATTGATGTTTCAGTTGGGAAGGGGCCGGCACTTGTCCTTTTTCATGCCTATGAGGATAGGTAGTTGATAAAAACAACAAGACCAACAATCACCCCAAAAATATTGCCGTGTCATGATAGCTTGCGATGTTTGTGACAAGTTTTTACCCCAATCGCCCGGTCTAAAGCATACCCACCAAGGGGTTGAGTTGGCGCGAACGAGCTTCGCAAGTGCGAGCACTAGTCTCAAGGGTGTAGCAAGCCTTGCTCACCTGGACATAAAACCCTTGAGACTGTGGGTTTGGCTGTGGGAGGGACCAAATAAAACCCTTGAGACTAGTGCTCGCACTTACGGTCCAAACGTTTGTGACGTGAGAGTTGTGTCATTTCCAGCGGCGCCGCTCAGGTGGTCGGCCGATGGTCCCTAAGTGGTCGCCGCTCACGACCGGTTCTGCGGAATAAAGGGTGAGCTGTTATTAATTCTCGGCTCCTGAGTGAATCCCTCACCTGGGGAATACCTGGTGCCATTTTTGATTCCCAGATCGGTTCACCAACTCCAAGTCGGTGAGCGAACGCACCTCGGACCTCAGCTCCACGTGGGTTCCCGGAGCGTCACCAAGGTGTTCAGGCCACGCACATCATCGATGGCCGTCGGCCGCATGCGCTGCTGGAGGAGCGGAATGAGCGGGTGGCTGGTGGTCCAACGGTATCGGGAACCGATGGCGTCGGCTGGTTCGATCATTCGATTGGGTGGGGGATGCTGGGCCAAAGGGCCAAAGTGAAATGTTCCGGAGAAGGGTGCCCATGATCCACTTACTTGGGACTAAAATCATCGTTAACACCCTTCGTTTTAATCTGCTGGTACTACAGACACTGCGCTTATTTACTAATTTATATAAATTGACAATTATAAATTAAGACTTCATTTCTATCGCCTCGCATTGATTTGTCTTGCGTGTCTGACCTCCGAACCGTCCCGGACATACCATTTGGGCCCAGTCCGAAACACGATGCATGAACCTATGCTCGTATCCTGTTTGGGTGTCCTGGGATCCCCAGACAGGACACCCAGACAGGATGATCCTGGTATGAATTCGGTTTCAAGATGTTTCAAGTCTTAGCATGCGCGATCTAGCCGTGATCGGCCGATCTAGCCGATCTACCCGATCGACCTCGCGTGGCTTCACGACCGAATGCGCATGGATCATCTCGGACGTTACGCATGCGCGCGGAATGGACGGGGTGCGCGTATGGCCTACGAAAGGTCCTGGGAAGCAGATGATCAGATTCGGAGTGCGAAGCGATCTTCTTCAGAACTTGATCAGAACTTTCGAAGATTGATCTGGTCATGTGCAGCCAGCCATGGCTGTGAGATGCTGTGGGTACCCAGAGACCTGGTCACTCGAGCCTAGGACCAACCATGTCGGCGTTTTCTTCATGTCCATTCGCATGTTCAACCCGAGTCGCCTGGTGCTATGATCTATCGCCATTTCGGAGAATTTCGGGGACTTGAGCATCACTTTATGGTTGCACAACTGTCACTCGGTGGTCGTCGGTGCGCCTGGAACTTCCAGGAGCTGTTTTCCACCGGCGCCGGCAAGCAGGGGACCACCATCAGCCACGTGGCAGCGCGATGCGGCATGTTTCTTTGTTGTTTTTGCTTGGAAAAATCCATAAACAAGACATGCGCATGTCAGTATGAAGAGCAAAGCCCTGGTAAGTCATTGTGGGCCGGAAGACCAAGCTCTTTTACACTTTCGGAGGGCTAGTTTAGACACTGTGCCTCTTGTGCAGTGTCATGATTGTCTCGATTGCCCTGTCCGTGGTGGTTGCTTTCACCCGCAACGTGTCTCCAGGTGTGAAGAGTCTGAAGGAAAGCAAAAAAGAAATCGTGGCTCTGAGGGTTCCTGGTGTTCTTTTCTCATACAACAACTATAGACTGGTCCATATACCAAGCAAGGCTGATGACTGGTCCATATACCAAGCAAGGCTGATTCAGGCTGATGCTTTTTTGGGTGCATTCACCTGGCATTGGTCGCACACCCAGTCCGCACATTCGTTTTTGTGGCCGCTTCTTCGGGTCGGGTGTGGGGGCAGTTGATGAACGTGATGATACAACTAGGTGGGTTCCTGTAAGGTGATTGACAAGTTTAAGGCCAAGGACCAGGGACTTTCTTGATACGAAGAGATCACACTGCCCAGGTCTACCCAAAAGCCCGGCTCCTGTGTTTCTCAGGTGGGCAAACATGTCATTCATACAAAGTCGTTGTGTAATTATGCTTCTTGAGCAGCAAGGACAAGGAGCCTAGTAAGACATAGTAAGACTGGTCAGGAATTCAAAATCTCTGGGTCGGGAAAGCGGCTTTCCCTGGCAACTGGGCAGAGCGGCAGAGCCCGCCGGACTGGTGGTTGAACAAGCTCGCAACGCTGAGGACAAAACTGATGATCAGTTGCTGCTTGAACCTGCAAGGCAGGTCCCCGTGTAGATCCCGAAATTCGAGGATCACTGTCCAGAAGCGGGTGATCGTTGTGATTCCCTGAACACTTGTTGACCATGAGTTAATAAGTTAATGAGTAGGCTGTTGATACGCAAGCGTGCCAACGATGCACCAGCCAGCAACCTGCGCCGGGCACAAGCAGCCAGTGCGGCAAGGTTGGCTTGTGATGGAGTCGCAAGCTTTTCTTAATGGGATGACTGAAGCTGGACACAGTTGACAGGTTCAGTTGCCTGGTATCCGCAGGAAATAGATGAATGAGGCCTTTGTTTGATTTTGTTTGTATAATTAGATGATTGGCTTGACCACAAAACTGGGCACCTTACTGGCAAGGGTGACTACAGATACTAGGTGGGGGAACAGCCTGAGGTATTGCCGACAATTAGCACAAAGCGACCAAAGATGAGGGCCAAAACAAACAGCCCAAGGATTGGAGAGTCCATGATTTGGGTGTTGAGATGTGTTGCTGTAGTTTGGAAGTCTTTGTCCAAGACGAATAGATTCTCAGACTCAAACGTTGATCTTCACATGCCAAAGCATGTGCTCTTGGAAGTCGATGGAATTAGCGATTTCAGGAGGAACAGATTGACCAGGTGACACAGGTTGACCTTTGGCCACTCTTTGCTTGTTTGTACATGTCCACACCAGATTGCCGTCAGTGAAGAATGGCCACCCCAACTCCTGAAACTCAGCTCGCCACCAACTGGAGTTTCTGTCAACCCACTAGAGATTTTGATGATTTTGACTGCTCAGAGGAGCTTCTCAGAGGATTCTCTTGAGCAAGTAGGCCATTGGTTTTGATCTCACAGGCAGATTCCGTCACAGCAGGAAGCCGAGGCGATTCGGCGATCGGATTGGAAGGTTTGTTTTGGGACTTGTGAACTGCTAGCTGCTAGGGGAAGTGGTTTGCTCAGTGCGTGTATATATATATATATATCATAAATATTCAGAGCTTCCGCTGCGACTTCCTGCTCGCCGGGATGTTTCTTAGACGCCTCCGCAGCGGAAAAAGACACGAGGGCCCCGCGCAGTGCAGCGGTCTGAAGCCGAACCAACCATAGACCCAAACTGCCTGCATTCTCCCTCATCCACCCCCTGGTCCGCCCGGTCAGGGCCCTGATTAGGGGACACATCAAGACCGGGCCTTTCTGGTGTCTTTTTGGAAGAAAAGTGCTCTTTTTGGGCGGAGTTGCCAGAGACTGAAAAGCATCCGAAAGTGTCCGCGGGTGTCATGGATTTAACGTACACTTCTGCCCTTCCCGTCCACGTCCTCTCCTGCACCTCCGTTCGCAGAGCTACGGCGCCGGCAAGTTGATGGAAGAGCTGCAGAAGGCATTTAGTTTCCGTTTCAACTGTGGTTGCATTGATGTATCAAGACTCCCAAGTGATCCCAAGTTGACTGTTTATTTAACGTGCTATATATTGCCCTATAGGGCTCCAAGTAGCTCCTGAGAAGTTGGTAGGGGTTGGTTCAGACGGTTTATAGATGTATATATACTACAAAAGAAACTGCTCAATGGGATGAACTTCACACTATAAACATGTAGATTCTACTACATTTATAGTACAGTATCAGTTCAATGTCAGACATGATGATCGAACTGTAAAAGAAACTGCACATCTCCACGCCCCTTCTCGATGCTTCGGTCTCAACGCGCCGCGCAGGTCAAGCGCTCCTGGAGTGATGAACGCCCGGAAGACTTGGAGCGGAGAAGAACACATGGCCAGCACCTGGAGAAACACATCACATGGACTAGAAGTCTGAACCACCTGAGCCTGAGTCTGACCACGGATGAGGCCTTTTGGATCCTTTTGGCCTGACAGGTCCGGACGTCTTTTTGGGGATTGCCATCTGTCACAACATGGCCTCCTAAACACACACATCCGCCATCCACCGAACCTGGAAGCTCGGTCCGCTCGGTCCACTCCTGGCCTCACGTCGTCGCTTCGGCTCCGCTCCCGAGGCGAAGAGCTGCGTGCCGAAGCCGAAGCCTTGAAGCGCCAAGCCTTGAAGCTGCAGACGCAGCAGGCGCCAGACGATCGCTGATGCTCGGCACCGAGGGTCGTTGGAGATCCAGGTATCTAAAGAAGTGGAGAAACACATGGATCACCTGCCCCTGGGAAGCATTTGGGGGGCCAAACAAGTCGTTTCCTTCAGTTTCATGGGAAATCAACAGGTGAAACATGGGAAACGCCATGATGAACCTTTAATTACTGCAAAACGGTGGGTGCCAGTTCTTGTCGTTTCGGCTTCCCTATACCCTCCTTACTACCATGTCAACCAGTCGGTCCGAAATGTACACCCGCGGCCGTGGAGACTGCAGGATGAGTCGGATGTAAGTCGGTGGGCTTCAGGGTGAGAATCAGTCGACCTAGAGCGGATCCGGTTTTCACCTGGATCCGCCGCAGGAAGTGATTCCCTCCATGGAAGATATGACATGTGTGTTGCAGGAAGGGTTGCGGTTCTTATGGTTCTGCTGGTATGTTAAAATCTACTATGCAGGTGTGCAAGGACCTACAGTCCGACTTGTTACCAAGGTAACTGAGTGTGCCCTGGCCTGGGATGCAGATCTTCACCACTGCCTTAGTGTAGCTGAAGCTATAGTCAATAGTCCATTCCACAAAGTTCGAGTCAAAAGACGCTTGCATGCATAAGGGGGGCGGTTAAACCTCTATTGAGACCTTTGTACTTGTAGAATATATATATATATAATATACAGATAGCTTTTTATTGATACATATCAACATACGTATAGTATATTAACTAGTTTGACCCTCCAAGCCCACCTCAGACACATTCTCAGGGCTTTTTTGGTGAGAGCAAACATGGCACATTGACATGCATGGCACATTTGCATGCACATCGAATGCGCAGGTAGCTCTACCTTCACCACGGATGCAATTTTCAGGTCGGAGCCTGGGGCTGGAAGCCTACTGTTGGTAAAAGAAAGGCAGTGGCACATGGCAACCCTGAGTCACACTGTAGAGGACCATGGACTCTTTAAAGAATGAGCAGGCTTGTTGGTGTGGATTTAGTAGTTTGGCCGAAGGACTATTTACAGAGAAGGATCTTGTAAGAACATTGACTTCTGCAAGACTGCAAGACAGCCTTCCGCTAGAAACTAGTGTGAGATGTGGTTCAGAGAAGGCTTTCCTTGGCTTCACTATCAGTCCCACCCTATGCAGACAAAGTTTAAGCTCCTTGCCTATTTTCCTAGGACAGGATCAAATCTGCTGTGGATCAAATTCACAAGCGTGAACAAGTCTGATTCGTTTGCTGGGATGGTCAAGTAGGACACCCAATGGCAATTATACTAAGTACTTTCTTAAATTTGCATAGTCATATAGAAATTGGAACTGCGGTGTGTGACTGTGTGCAATTAGCTCAATCATTACGTGCTTTTTTGACAAAAGAGCGCGCTCCTATAGCTGCTAGTGTATCTATTATGGGTGGAGTTGGTGACTCCACGAGGTCAATTCGTTGGGAGAAGGTGCCACGCAGCTGTTGTCCTTCCACTGTCCAACTGTGCACATCCAGGTGATTGGAAAAAGCCCCAGCTGCCAGCCCTCACAGCCACCAAGACTCATCAAAGAACAACAAAGACATGAAGAGGCGGACTTTCCGTCTCAAAGCAGAGATCCACTCCAAATCAATTATGATCAATTAACAATTAACAATTGATCATGATTGATTTCGAGTTGTTGTTCTAGAAACTCATTCTGGAAAAAATAACAAGAAAAACAGCTTACAACTAATGATACTGCACCTACTGTACACCTACACCTATCCCTATACCTAATACCCCAGCCACACCTCCACATGAACCCAGTCGCCTTGGCACCGAACGCCAGGCCAGTCCGCCGCGCCTGTGGCCTTTGCGGCACCGAACGAGCGGCTTCGAGTGCCTCGGCCCAGTGGCACGGCCCGGGTGGCACGGCCAGTGCTGAAGTTCTGAGACGCGCCAGGTGATTTTGGACAGAAGAAGGGGCGAGAATTGGTGATTTTGGAGAAACATAGGGAGATGTACGGTCCGAAGACGGACCCCACCTTTGGAAATTAAGTGGAAATCCTTTTGTTCACCGAACGGAACAGGTGTCCAGAAGCCCCACCTCGTTTTTGGGGGATGCCGCCTGTCCAATCACCAGACTTGTGTGTGGTCCTGGCTGAGTGTAGGTGAGTGTTTAGGGAAATCAGAATGATTTTGTGTTTTTTTCTTGGGGAACTTAAGACATGATTTCTTTGTTTGTGGTTCTTGAGTAGCTTTGGGTACCCGATTGGGTCATTGACTCAGTTTGCGCACCGACTCATGTATTTTCCGGCAAGACTTGGATGAGGTAGCAACCCTCGGCCAGAGAAGGCGCTGGGCGTATCTGGATACATACATATATATGCCAACATGGCTTTGACCTGGTTGTTTTTAGCACGCAGCCAGCAGAGTAGTGCTCAAGGTACTAGAACACACAAGATCAGGACTCAGGATCAGCAATGAAGAGAGGCAAACATTCTAGAACGGGTCGATGCATGGTTTCTTTGCCAACCTTTGGTATATTTCATGACGGTTGAACGGTGCATTCAAAGTTTTTTCAAGACGAAGGCGTGCCAGTTGCCAAATTGACGGGACATGGCCTGACCTTGAGAATCTCATGGCTACCTCTGTAGAAATTACCTTTCCCTCTCCGGACCAGAGATCACTGCCCAAGGGGGTGCACCGAGACTTTTTTGAACGTCCAATAAACCAATTGAATGTATGTCCAGTGTACTGATAATACTATTAGATTCAATAAATCAATACCACGTGTCCATGTATATAGTATATACATAATATACATATAAACATGCTTATGCTCTTTTGTTTCACTCATGTTTTTTTGGATCTCTATACTACAGGTCCTCCGACGGCCATCTCCACCATGGGGTCTCTCTCCCTGACGGAAGACGCCCTCCGTCCATCTCTGTCCTGTCGGGCTTGGGGGGGTCGAATTGCCAGGCGCGCCGAGGCGTTGCCTTTGATCACCTTGCAAGAGTTCAGAGGCACCCGAGCGCCGAGCTGCAGCGAGATGCAGCGATGGCCGAAATGGGAAAGTCAGGTTCGAAAGTTCCAGAGAGCGGCAAGAAAGAGATGAATCCAGATTTTAGCGTATGATATACATATATGCGTATTGTTTGTGGAATTGTATCCACATGTGGACATGAGGATGCTACTTGATGGACGTTGAATTCATTGGTTGATGAGGTTTCAGGTT